CTAGAGTGGTCCTTTAATTTAAAAGAAAAAGATAAAATTATCAATGATAATTGAGTGTAATTTCTGGAGAAGTAACAGTTCACCTTTAAAGAAGTGAAAAAGAAGGGGAGGGAAGGGGAGAACATGAAAGAGGGTACACTGTAGGCACATTGTAGGGACACTGTAGGCACACATACCACTTAAGCTCATTGAAGAGGTCTGAGTACAAACACCCATCACCATTCACCCTGAGCATGTAATTATTGCAGTTTTTATTAGGCAGCCACTAGAGAGACTTCAAGGTGCAATAGGCGACTTTTGGTCGCCTAAACAACGCTGGATGTCCTCATGCAATGTATGAGGACTTCCAGCATCACCGGAATCCCCCCAGGAATGCTTTCCTATGGGGAAATCTTCCTCGCCAGAGCTGAGCCAGTGCCGAGGGACATCCCCTTCTGCACCACGGGGGGGGGGGGGCCTTGACAGAGGGGAAAGCTATAGTGCCAGGAAAACTAGTTTGTTTTCCTGGCACTTTAGTTTCCCTTAAAAATACTTGAGGCAAAAATCAATATGGATTCCGTCACAGTATATGCTCATATATTGCACAAGTCTGATAAAATATCAGTGTACGTTTGGGAGGCCCTTTTATAACAAACCTAAGAGTAACAATTTTACATGGGATATCCATCCACCTGGGGTTCTCTGCAGTGCAAAGTTTAAACAGGGTCCTGTGATAGGACAACTGGTCTTGTAATGGGACAATTGGGTCAGGGAGAGGTAAATTGACTTTGTGGTAGACTTATGAAATGTATTATCATGTACTGTAACCAAAGCTCTATTGTTTTTGTCTTAGTCAGGTGTTTTAAGCAATTTTATTTGGTATTTAAAATCAGTCTGAAGAAACAAATGGTCCAATTACATCCTTTTAAAATATTTATATTAGTGAGTGCAACATTTCTCTTCTACATAAAATATATACAAAAGCAGAAAAATATACAAAAAACACCATACAATGTTGTCTTCTAGTATTGCAGAATTAGTAAGAAATTAGTTTCAGCTGAAAATATTTCTTAAGAGATTAAGAATCCTCTCGAGAAAGGCTCTGACCCAAAACATTCATGCAGGCTTTTGAAAGTTTTAAGATCAGCAGTGTTATACTGTCTACATGAATTAAGAGCTCCCTGAGGTGCAGAGCAGGAGCTAGAGTTGTAATGTAAATGCTTTCCATGCATAGAAAGTGAAATCATACCTAATTATCACAATTTTTATTTAATTTCTTTGCTCTCATCGATTTGCAGGCAAGTATGGGCTTGTGGCTTAAGCATCAAAGACATTTCTCACTTAAAAGAGATGTTTGTAAGATATAAAACCAAATAATTTCTGTGTGAGGCATATCCTTCTCGTGTATTTTGTATTATTGGAGGTTATTTGAGCATCAACACTACTTAGAATTTTTAGAATTTGGTTTACTTTCCCCTATGTTTAGCCAGTATGTATCTCTGAAGTATTAAAATTAAATGTCTATGCTTCCCACCACAAACATTTTGATATGGACATGGGACACAGTGAAGGACTGTCTGTGCTCTAATCAAAATTGGTCCACATATATAAAGCACACATGTCCGAAACTCTACCTTTGACTACTGAGTATGAATGGAGGGTGAATGTACCCATGTACATCAATTATTTCAGTGTAAAAATATCCAATCGTTCCCCTACCTACAAAATTAATGTAATCTCCCTATTTACAGATCAAGTCTTACTAACCAACTCCTACCGACATGACACTAGTTTAGTCCTCCTATCGAAATTTGAAACAGTATGCCTAGCCCCAGCTACACCTAAAAACGTTCTACGATATATAAATTATTAAATCAACCTGACACCAGGAACTCCGACAAATAACATGTGGAAAACTGATCTGCAACAGAAGTTTGCTCAAGCGACAGGCATCATTCACGGCACATAAAGGCAACACTATGTACACCTCATTTAGAGCTTACGCAAAAGATTTACTTCCGTTAGTACATGGTGCCGGCACGTTTGGCGAAAATCTATCCGGGCCCAACAGATAATTGCTGGAGGTGCGGGAGGGAATCCGGCACGATGTATCACACATGGTGGACGTGCACTAATCTCCGTCCATTTTGGACAATGGTCGAAAACACACTCTCAGAGATACTACAGGTACCCATCACACTGAAACCAGAAATGGCATTTCTATTTCTAAACCTGGATGGCTTCCTCAGAGGCGACACCATGCTGATATACCATACGCTTATAGCTGCCCTTACATTCCTAGCCAGAGCCTGGAAATCCGCAGGTGTTCCCTCCAAACAAACCCTTCTATACCAGGTGACTGTTAACATGGACTATGAAAACATAGCTAGGAAACAACTCAAGTCTCACCACATCGTACAAACTTAAAACATACATAAAAACATTGCCATTGACCTAACCAGGTAGTACACCAATGGAATATGAGTTCTAGGCACTCATATCCCCATAGACAGAAGTATTTCATGACCACTAGCATATTCCCAGATATATCACTTCACACAAAGCTACATGTGTAGTGCAGACCGGTCAAAGACCTTCACAAACTTAACCCAGTACACTGATAGCTGAAAACACCAAACCAGCATACCCGAATTCCTATAAATGTCATCCCACCATTACCCACCAACTGTAAATAGTTCCTACCTGTACATAGTTTTAAACTGCACAGCAGAACAAACACAATACAGATCATCACTAGCGGGAGAGCAAAATCCATGCTACAAGTCTAGTACAATAAGTCCAAATGGAACTTGGGTTATCCTCTCTTTTGTGACACAAGAAAACAAATTCTCTTATAAGACGTAGACCGTAAAATCGAGACTCCATTAACCAAAATGTGTCGATATGTAATTGTTCAAAGTAAGTGTGACATGGAAATGTCCTAAATACATTACTTATCAGAAAGTGTGGTGATTACCTGGAATGATTGTCCAGTGGAAGCAGAAATGTCTAGTATAATAAGAGTTTAAAGGGGCATGCATCAATTTCATTGAAAAACTCAAGCTTAGAATAAGACAGTTGCCTCACTCTGCAGGTTGAAAAAAGCTGGCAAATATGATTTTATTTGTTCATGTTTACCTGTTTCTTCTTTCTTATGCTTTCCATGCCCACTCCAGGGAGTACACTGCTCTTACCAAACAATGTCCTATCCCTAGGAATGCTGGAAAAGTGCATTGGGCATGCACATGTGTAGTTGGAAGTTCTCTTTACCTTGCATCATTGTGAAGGTTATCATACCCTTGGGCATGGTTTCTGTCAGGCAGAAGCGTTCGAAGAACGTCATTGGCTGCAGCGCTGCCCCCTTGATATGTGGTTGTTTTGCAAAGTCTTTTAATTGGATATACCTGAAAAAGTCAGCAGGTGTGACATGCCTCCCCTATGTGAGACATCAAACCTAATTATCTCAGTGCCCTGGTATAAATGGGATGATCTTTGAATGCTCATATGCTCTAAATTTCTGAAGTCTCTGGCGGCCATACCCGGAGGTATTCTGAGGCAGGGCATGAGAGGGGAAGGTGAGGATGCTAGTTTGTATTTTAAGTGTGAAGAATCCCAAATTCTCAGTGAATTGAGGATCGCTGTGCAGGTAACCTTGAGCATGGGTCTGTTCTCTTTTGGCACCCACATGATTAATTGTGGTAAGTCGGCCCCTATCATGAGCGATTCTATGTCCACCCATTTCCTTTCACCTGGAGGCGAGTGCCACATCGCGATCTGTGTTTATTGGGCAGCTAAATAGTAATAGTATCATAGGCATGCGCACGGGGTGTGCCTTGGCACACCCTAATCCCCGCGGCATGCCTATGTATTGAGACCGGCAGGGGAGATCTCAGGCTCATGCAGTGCTGGCGCTACAAGAGCACCGGCTCTGCTCTCAGCCTCCCTCCCCACTGCAGCATGGAGGGAGGCAGGAGAGGACCCGGGGAGCTCAACCAGCAGCTCCGCCGGGTTCCTCTCACGAGTTCTGAGCATTGCCGCGGCAATGCTCAGATCTTGCGAGCGTGAACTCTTGCCCCACAGGGGCTAGAGATCACTCTCCACTGGACCACCAGGGAAAGCAACAGCACGACCCCCCCTCCCTACATAAGGTAAGAAGGGAGGGGGGATATTAAGTAATGTACCCCCACCTCCACCCCCACAATCACCCACACACATACAGCACACACATCTACACACAGCACGCACATACAGCACACACAGACACACACATGCACACAGACACACACATGCATGCACACACACATATGCGCACACACACACACATGTGCACACACACACATGCACACACACATACAGCACACACACACATACAGCACACACACACAGCACACATATATAGCACCTTCACACATACAGCATCCACACACACACAGCACACAAATACAGCACCCTCACACACATACAACCCACACATACAGCACATACATACAGCACCCACACATATACAGCACCCACACATATACAGCACACACACATACAGCACACACAAACAGCACCCACACACAAACAGCACCCACACACGAACAGCACCCCCACACAGCACACACGCACAGCACACACACACGCACACACATACACCACACACACAGCACACACACACAGTACCTTCACATACAGCACCCACACACACACATACAGCACCCCCACACACACAGCACCCTCACACACATGTAGCACCCACACACATACAGCACCCTCGCACATATAGCACCCACACACATACAGCACCCTCAAACACACAGCGCCCTCTCACACACAGCACAAAAACAGCACCCTCACAAACACACACACAGCACACTAACAGGACCCTAACAAACACACACAAACACACACACATCACACAAACAGCACCCTCACACACACATCACACTAGCAGCACCCTTACACACACACACACACACACAGCACCCTTACACACACAACACCCTCAAACCACCCTCATGCAGCACACACACGCGCACACACAGCAGTGTATATATATATGTATGTGTGTGTGTGTATATATATATATATACACACACACACACACACACACACACACACACACACACATACACGCGGCGTGTGTTTGTTCTTTAGGGTGCACACCCTAATGCAATAGGCTGTGCACGCCTATGAATAGTATAGGTAGGGGAGTCCCAGCCCGCCCCTCGTTTTTGACCTATAGAGGACCTGTCCTGATATTCCATGGCGTTTATTCTGCCAAATAAAGGCCCCCGTTGCTCGCTGTAGTGGGAGAAGTTGTGCCTTAGAGAGGCGTATAGGTAGTGCCTGGAATAGGAAGAGGTTGCGTGGTAAGATGTTTATTTTTACAGAATGAATCCGTCCAATCCATGATATGGGCTTGTCTATCCAGGTCTTTCGTTAGGGATTTCACTAAGGGATATAGTTATAGTGATATAATTTTTCAGGGTCCACTGTCAAGTGGATTCCCAGATATTTAAGGGAGGTATGTTTAATGCGAATAGTGTGTCTATCTCTGATTGATGCCGTGTCCGCCATCGCCAATCCCACTGGGAGGGCGCTGGACTTAGTCATATTGACTATGTATCCCAAAAACTCCCCATAACCCCGTAGGACTTCATTCAAGGCCACCATAGATTCTGTAGGGCTCGTGAGTGTTAAGAGCACATCATCTATGTACGCAGACACCAGAAACTCCCTCCCTCCCATCTTAACTCCGTGTATTCTTGGATGCTGTCGAAGAGCCTGCAGCAGGGATTCCAGGGATAGAATGAATAGTAGCAGGGAAAGTGGGCATCCCTGCCTAGTGCCATTGTTGGAAGTGAGCTAGTACCATGAATAGGTATGGCCACCTAACCCTATCAAAGGCCTTTTCCTCGTCTAACGACACAATCAGCGTAGGTGTGCGTGTGGCCGCCTGTCTCCATATGAGGTCTATGATGCGACGTCTATTTTCAAATTGTTGTCTACCGGGAATAAAGCCAACCTGGTCGGCATCTATTAGTGTCGATGGTAAAGGGTTCAGTCGGGTCGCCTGGATTTTCGCTAAGATTTTCATGTCATGGTTATGTAGGGAAATGGGCCTATAGCTTGATGGTAAGAGCGGGTCCTTGTCTGGTTTAGGTAGTAACACTATTGTAGCTAAGGACATGTCCCAGTCTGGAGTGCCCCCCTCTCTAAGTTCCTTGAATAGTTTTAGGAGGTGAGGTATGAGTTCCTCTCAGAATGTTTTGTAGTACCCTTCATCAAAGCAATCGGGCCCGGGGGTTTGTTCCCTTTAAGTGTTGTGATAGCCTGGTCTATTTCTTCGCTGGTGATTTCGGCAGCTAGAGTAGCTATCGCTTCTGGTGATAGTTTGGGCATCCCCAAATCCCTTAAAAAACTGCGAATCTGTGTCTCCTCTATTTTGTTACCCCCCTCTGAGTGTTGTGAGTGGTTATACAGATTTTTGTAAAAATCTGTGAAGACTGATGCTACATCAGCCGCAGGGCCAGATTAAGAGCCCAGTGGGCCTGGTGCTGACAATTATGACGGGCCTAATTACAGAATCATATCGACCAAAAACAGTAAAACACTCCCAAGCGTCATGTATCTGATGGAGATGGTGCTGGAGAGAAAGAAAACAGCAGCTATAAGAAAACACATACCCTAGGCTAATATCGCTCTAATTTATGTTTTCATCTTTCAAGTAAATCCATAACCCCTAACAGCAGTGTCCAGTCAAGCAGGAAGTCAATGGGCATGGTAAAAGGGTGTGCCACTGACACAAATCACGTAACCTGCCAAAAGGGGCGAACATGCCCAAAAAGAGAACATGTCTGCCCAAAGAATTAGAAGGCCAGCCTGGCATGAATGAATGTCAGGCTGCCTGCCAATCATGCAGCATACCATGCAGACAGCACCCTGAGCTTGGCATAAATGCATCTAATGATGCGCTCACTCAACGCTTTCTAAGGACTGTCCCCTAGCACTCGCTGGTCCACTTGTCTCCTTACCTTCTTACTAGCAGGCAGAAGCTCCTGGTATATAGTCTGGGACAGAGAAAAGCTGTATGTAGTGTAGAAGAAAGGGAACATGCCACAGTGTTAGAGAGACCAAAGTCAGCATTACCTTAAAGGATCACTATAGGGTCAGGAACACAAACATGAATTCATGACCCTATAGTGTTAACACCACCATCTAGCCCCCCTGGGCCCCTCATGCCTCCATAAATATAACAAAATCTTACTATATTCAAGCCTGAAGCTGTAACTCTGCATGCTGTTAGACTCATAAAAACAAGCAGTCTGTTGACATCATTAGAAGTGGTGGCCTGATCCAATCACAGTGCTTCCCCATAGGATTGGCTGAGACTGACAAAGAGGCAGATCAGAGTCAGAGCCAGCATGATTCAAACACTGCACTGGCCAATCAGCATCTCCTTATAGAGATGAATTGAATTAATGAATCTCTATGAGAAAAGTTCAGTGTCTGCATGCAGAGGGAGGAGACACTGAATGTTTGGATGAATTTTAGGCAGCCATGACCCAGGAAGGATCTCTAACAGCCATCTAAGGAGTGGCCAGGGAAGTTATCACTAGGCTGTAATGTAAAGACTGCATTTTCTCTGAAAAAAGACAGTGTTTACAGCAAAAAGCCTGACGGTAATGATTCTACTCACCAGAACAAATTCAATAAGCTGCAGTTGTTCCGGTGACTATAGTGTCCCTTTAACTATATTCATTGTCAGCCAGTCCACACAAGTTTTGTTCCCATACATCCCTCCTAAGTTTCCATACTTAAGTAAGAGTATGTGAAAAGTAGTTAGGGTTGCCACCTTTCTTGGAAAAACAATTTGCATAATTAAATATGTATAGTGACATCACATGATGTAAATCACAAGGAGTGACATAAGAGAAAATGCTGTAAAATCACCAAAAAACTACTTAGTTTGATTTTGCTGTATAGATGGATTCCTCCCAGTGCCCCCATGTCTCCCAGTGCCCCCATGTGTCGATTACTCCAGGTCTCAGTGTTCCTATGTATCAGGGTCTCAGTGCCCCATGTCTCCCAGTGTCCCCTAGTGTCGTGTCCCCAGGTCTCCCAGTGATCCTATGTATCACAGTGTCTCAATGCCCCATGTCTCCCCGTGTATCCCAGGGTCCCCATGTCACTAGGACACTAGGAAGATGGGGAGACCTGGGGACATGGGGAGACCTAGGGACACGGAGACACCAGTGACAATGGGAGACTAGGGGACTCTGGCTGGGACACATGGGGACAATGGGAAAATAGGGGACACTTGAAGACATGGGGACACAGACACTAGAGACACTGGTTGAGGGACATGGGGACATTGAGACATGGGGACACTGAGACACCAGGGCCACAGACACTAGGGACACTAGCTTGGAGATATGGGGACATTGTGACACTTGAGGTACTGAGAGACATGGAGACACTAGGAGACATGGGGACAGTGAGACACTGGCAGACTGGGGGCACTGGGAGACTAGGGGTCACTGGGAGACTAGGGGGCACTGAGACACCAGGGACACTGGCTGGGAGTCATGGGGACACTGTGTCCCCATGTGTCTGTGTCATAATGTCTCTCAATGTCCCTTAGTGTCTCAGTGTATGTCTCCTTGCAGCCTTTCCCTCCATCCCTTACTTCCCTGAGCTGTAAGCTGTCTCTGCAGGGTGGGAGTTGCTTGGACTCTCTGTAGCTGCACCCCTGCAGATCAGTGAGTATAGATAGGCAGGGAGGGATATGCTGAAACTTCCTATCCCTGTCTGTCTCCACATACAGCGACCCCTACTGGCCAGTGCTGGTATTGCATAGTAATCTCTTGTTTATACTGAGAAAAATACCAGCATTTGTATTGCCAGTATCACTGCAATATTGGCACCAGCCAGGAAGCCTCAAATACTGGCTATGCCAATAAAATAAAAGCCAGGTGGAATCCCTAAGAGGAGTGTGTGAAAAAAAAAAAAAAATTATTATTATTTTTTTTTTTTTTTAAATCAATGGGCCTATTCCATGGGCCTATTCCATGGGCCTGGGCCTGGAGCTGCAGCTCCATCAGCCCCTATGTTAATCCGGCCCTGATCAGCCGGTGTGGTTTTGATAGTTCCATCTGTGTGTCGAATTGAGGTAATGTGCGTGCATCTTTGTCGGGGGTTCAGGGTCTTGGTCAGCAATGTGTCCATTTTATTGTCTTTTTCATAGAATGTTTGTCTAGTGTAAGTCATGGCTTTGGCCTTGTCGTCTAGTAGCAGGCTTTGGATAGTGTCTCACCATGTCTATACGACGGAAAGTCTTCCCGTCTGGGTGCAATTGGTGTGCCCGCTCTAGTGTCCCTAACTCCGAGAGAAGTCGTTCTAAGGTTTGGGATTTTTGTTTTTTCTTTCTAGTTGCCTGGCGAATGAGTGTGCCCCATATTACTGCTTTGTGGGCTGCCCATGTAGTACACTTTCATATCAGGGCTGTCGTTCGTGGCAAAATACTCCAGTATTTCTGTACCTATTTGTTTTGTGATTTCAGTGTCTCTTAAGAGGGATGTGTTCATCCTCCACGTCCATGGGGTTGCTATGCATAGGTTTACTAACGTTAAATTCACTTTCTTGCTTTATTTTGGTTGATATATTTGTTAAGTGTTAGCTTGCTAGTTTAAAAAAAAATATTGTCAAAATATGATTTTCCCTTTAAGATGTTTCATCTTCTCTATATAAATATTTATTAGTATGGTTGGTAATGCACACCCTTTATGTTCTTCTGTTGTATTTAAAATGATAAAATGCTCTATGTGCATAAGACAGACCCAAGGCCCCCCACAATAGATATAAAATGTCATTAAGGCTAATCGATTAAATATGCTGTCATCATCTTTGTTCCAATGTGTGTATCAGTAGGGAAAGAGGTTTAAAGACAAAGAAGCCCTTGAAATTGTGAATTAGTCTATGTCTTGTACACATCTCTTGAAATAGACTTCATAATAAATTCAGAATGTCCATTGAATTCTGTGGTGAGTGTTACACCTATCCTGTTATTGACATATTTATTGTAAAGTAAATATAAAAAACCTGTTTATTTCAAATACTGTTGCAAAAACACAT